CTCACCTATGGTCATGAACTTTGGGTCATGACCGAAAGGGCAAGATCCCAGATACAGGCGTCCGAAATGAGCTTTCTCCGCAGGGCGGCCGGGCGCACCCTTAGAGATAGGGTGAGGAGCTCGGTCACCCGGGAGGAGCTCAGAGTAGAACCGCTGCTCCTCCACATCGAGAGGAGCCAGCTGAGGTGGCTCGGGCATCTCTTTCGGATGCCTCCTGGGCGCCTTCCTAGGGAGGTGTTCCGGGCATGTCCCACCGGGAGGAGGCCCCGGGGAAGACCCAGGACACGCTGGAGGGACTATGTCTCTCGGCTGGCCTGGGAACGCCGCGGCATTCCCCCGGAGGAGCTGGAGGAAGTGTCTGGAGAGAGGGAGGTCTGGGCATCTTTGCTTAGACTGCTGCCCCCGCGACCCGGCCCCGGATAAGCGGAAGAAAATGGATGGATGGAGGTGCAGTTAAAAATGTAGACAAGCTTAGCCCTGTAGCTGTTCTTTCTAGATGTAATTTCAACAAGAAAATACTGCATTAATATTAGGATGCCAAAAACCCTTGATTGGGACATCCCTAGTTTTAGGATTTTAAATATACAAGTGTAAAATATGAGCTACAAAATAGGACAGTTCTATTTAAACTGCTTTCTGACCTGGGTGGGACCTTGTCCTGTGAACAGGGCTTTATAAGCAGAGGCAGCTACTGACAGAGCTCCCTTCACCAGGCCGCTGGTGATGCCTGGGTGCCTGAGGAGACACAGGAAATGTGACTTCTGATGTGTGAAAACCTTGACAATACCCCCAGCTAACATTCCCAAGGAAAATGTGATGTTTTAAATTAGAAAAGCTGAACAACCTGGACAAGTTTCTCCAGTTAAAGAAGGTAATAAGAATTTAAGAAATCGTAGGAGCTTGTAAAACATCTGCTCAATCACTTCATTGTTTATTCATGCGAATCCTTCAGTACATAATCTCTGTTATGTGAAATTTTGTTGCACCAAACAAAATAAGGCATACATGCTTGTTTGTGTGTGTCACAAGAGTATGTGTGTCAGACCTGGGGTCTTCAGGATTGTCCTCTGTGTCCTCAGTATCATCTGTCTGAGTCTGTTCAGGACTAGAGGCTGCAAGACAATAAAACACCTCATTATCCTGGACTCCATCTCCTATTTATCCAGTTTAAAACAAAAAACATACATATAGTCTATAATTGCGTCTGTTTGTTTAGCAGGTGTCTCATTAAATTACTCCTACTGGCTTTTTACTCAAAGGTTTACTGCACGTACAGCAACGAGCATAGGTGTTGTAAACTTCAGCCATGAATTTGACTTTTCCTGGGCTCCCTGTCTCCACTGTTGTGACAGCAGCTGTATGCTCCGTGTGTGTGTGAACTCGCGTTCGAACACCCACACAAAGGAGAAGCAGCTCCATAAACACCAAAATCATATTTTCCATTCACTACACTGACTCAGTGGTCTTTGATAAAATGTTCCTGTAGAACCCCAGCGCAGTAGCACCAGTTCTCCTGCTTGATCCTATGTTACTACAGCTTTTACACAAGATTGAGCGTGTTTCATTGTCTTCACTCGATACGCCCCCAGCTTTTCATGATTTTTAAAGGTAATTTTATATACTTGGCAATATTTTTAATCCTTCAAATTTGGCTGGGTGGTTAATAACACATTTTCTTGTGGTGTGACAAACTCAGAACATGTTTACTTCTACTTTAAGGTAATTCACTAGACTTGAACTGCTTTAGAAAAATAGAGATGATCCCAAATTTTTGACTGGTAGTATATATCTGTCAATATCTATGACATATTTGGGTGGTATAAGAATGACTAAAGAAGAAGCTAAATCCTCTGTGAGTGTGCCTATGTACAGCCCCACAGAGCTGATATGGTGCATGTGGACTCTTGACCTAATTTCATAAGTGGTAGTGATGTGCTTACCATCCTCAGTTTGGTACAATTCCGGGCCATCTGCTCCTTCCCCAGCAGCGGCCGTGTCATCATCTGTCTCTCCACTGCTCTCTGAACTGAACAATTTCAAAAGCAACATACGTATTTACAACCAATGCAACAAACACTGGGAAACCTATAAAACCACACTACCTGCTCAGCCCCAAACAGACACAGTTAGAGACTAGCTGGTGAACATAACATGGCACAGATACAGGATATTAGAATGGTGGAGACTAGATACAGAGCTAATAGGAGAGCATATATTGCATTTAGATTCATCAGGTGGTGGACACAAACACAATTCTAAATGAATGCCAGTGTTGCTCTGTGTCTGCTGGATGTGTAAAGATGCAACTGTTTGCTAACATGCACACAATAACAGCTGTCAACAGCCTGTTGCTTGACCTCTGGTGTCCAAAAAATGAATTAATATCACTTTAAAAAGCAGAACCTGTATTCGATTAATGGCTGATTAAACAGCATGTATAAATGCCAAACAGGCTTGTCATTATTACTAATAAGTCAATACTTCATATGTTGAGTTCAACATGTATATTTCCACACCAATTTCACCAGTGACACAAAATTATGTCAAACTAACCACTCTACTCCTCTGAGTTTCTCTTTAGGTGGCGCCACCATTTCAGGAGTCAGTGGCTCATCGTCTAGAGTCTGAGATGTACAGAGCATGTCATTGGCACTGCTGGTGCTCGACAAGTCCGTCCCTGCAGCTGCTGCAACTTCATCTGTGTCACCCAGCTCCCCTTCTGCTGTGTGGTCAGAAGATGGAGTATCTGGGTCTATGGGGGTCTGGGCCAAGATGTCACCAGGCTGAGACAGGGCAGAGCTGCAGCAGGAAAACAAATGGGGAATTAAATTAAGCGAACCGGGCGCCCATGACAACGCAGGGTGACTGGTGTTGATACCACCGAGCTGAGAAGAGACATACTGTACCTGTACATGGACTCCCCCAGTGGCCGGCTGGTGTCAAAGCAATCTGGGAGGATGATGATGTAATCCTCTGAAGAGGTGGAGGAGGAGCGACTTCTCGTCCTTTCTCTCTTCTCCTCTCCTTCTTTCTCCTTCTGCTCCTCTGGCTCTTTCTGTCTCTCCTTCATCCTGGACTCCTCACAGATGCTTTCCATGTTGGACTCCTCAACTTCAGCTGTGAGGGGATCAAGGAATTGAAAAGCATTCACTGACAATATGAGGAACAACACTATTGCTATAAAATGCTGTTTAAGGGTCTGTTATGAATGACAGTTTCAGTAGGAACACACTGGCCTGCAAGAACTGGGAGCCATTAAGATAAGGTCAATAAAATGCTTATTCACATTTTTACAAACAGCGAGATGTAAAGATTGACATCAATCTCATAGCTGCATCAGTGGCACGTTCATGTCATATCATTTAAACCAGGGGTCTCCAACATGTCGCATGATACTCAATTCTGAAACGTGTGGGCGTGCACATCTTCGGCACAGACAAATAAGGCAACAGGCTCTGCATTCACATACATTACGGTGAGTACAACAAACTAATTGGTGGTTTTAGATTCTACAGGGGATTCAAACGCAGGTCCGTCTCACATAAAAATGGCCCAATCAGGAACTGTCAGGATGATCTTAGGTCAAATCTAAATTCAGCTCAGCAACTATCTTTTGCTGTCACCTGTGTGCTCCTGCAGTGTGGAGGCCCTAGTTGAAGCGTGGAGCAGGGCGGGTGCTGAGCTGGGGTCCGGCCCCGGGTTTGGGGCCACAGACAGGGGAGCAGGCAGGGAGGCTTTCAACGGGGAACAGAGGGAAGCCTTCAGTGCAGCTGGTGGTTTCAAGGTGCTGCTGGAGCTGCTTTTTGGGCTCTCCTCTGCTTTAGCTGCTTTAGTCTTCACACAGGAGGAGGAGGAGCTGCCCTGAGCAGCTGGACGCACCACTGAGGGCAAACAGGAGGATGACTGTTGGATACTGTATTGTTATACTGTCAATCACATCCAAAGAACTGCAGGCTGAGTAAAAAAAAATAAAATCAAAAACAATAAAACAACTCTGAAACTCACAAATCAAATATTAACTGCTGAAGTAGATTTTACAGGTGGTAATTTACACACAAGGTATACCAACTGATTGTCACTGCTGGGCATCATTCACAGTCATTCGGGGAACATGTCATTATTTACAATGACAAAGACACTTTTCCAGAGCTGTATGTGCTCAATGTTTTACCAACCCAAATACTGATATGATATAATCTGAACATTTCAGCCATTTATAAAACTTACTGGGGGAAGAATGTTAAAATACAAAAATGACAAGAAATATTACTGGAGACATTTAACGTTGACAAAACATTTTGTATAAGATCATACAAACTGTAAAATCAAATGTAAAATGTAACTTACAGCGAAAACAATTTCTCCTCACTGACCAGCAGTGTGCACAAAGTCTTAGGCCACCATTAGTTTTGCAGTTTTATCAAGGTTGTAATGATAATTTATTTTTATTTCTCAGTCTATTTATTAAGATATAACCAGAAAATACAGGAAATACGTACACAATATTACAAAACACAAAATGCTGAGAACAAACTGCCTTCCACAGTCCAAAGTCAGTATTTAGTGTAACCTCCCTTTGCACTTAGCATAGCTTGAATTCTTTGGGGGAAGACTGTCCTGAAGTCTTGAATCCATGACAGACCCTCCAACACGTTTCACTGAAGGCTGCGAGCACACGTCCTTCAACCTCTCTCCAACTCTTCTTCTCCTCACATACTGTTCCTAGTTAGACCAAATCATTTCAAACTTTGATTCATCACTTCATAATCCTCTTTTCCACGGATCTTCACTGGAATCTTTGGGACCTTTTGCATAGCTCAGCCTTTTCTCCCCGTCCCCCTTCTGAAACAGTGGTTTCTTGGCTGCTGTCCTTCCACTGAGGCCGTTCCTGATCAGGCTTCTTCAAACTGTGGAAGAACCAACCTGGCATCCAGACGAAGCTGACATATGCTGAGCCGGGACACTGCTGGATTTCCTCCGGTGTCAGAGAAGAAACTGTAGAAACGTCTCATCACATTTTAACAGTTTTCCTGGTCTTCCACTCCTGTTTTTGTCCTCGACCTCTCTGGATTCTTCAGATGTCTTTAGAAAAGCCTGACTACCACATCCTGAGTATCCAGTATATGTACTGATTGTTTGTGTTTTTAATACTCTGTACATATTTTCTGTTTTTTCTAGTTGTATTCTGATAAATAAGTATATATAATCATCATAACATTGTTAAAACAACTAATCTAATGGCGGCCTAAGACGTTTGCACAGTGCTGTATACATTTAATTAGATTCTTAAAGCTGCATTAATTCCAAGGAATTATCTGGCTTTTCAGGTGCAAAATCTTAGCTAATTCACATCTAGTCAGTAAATTTGACTTATAGCATTTGACTGTCTCCCTTTTTCTCTCATCCTTTTCCTATTTTGGATTGTACATATTTCCTATTTGAATGTAGACATTTTCTAGGTTTTATCTTCAGTTTTCTTATCTTTATTTTTTATTTAGAATTTTTTAGCATTGTTATCTTCTATTACCTCTGTCGGTCAAAAGGCTTACAGAAGCTAACAAGCACAGCATCTCTCTGAATGCAGGGATATTGTTGCTTGCTTGTATAAACAGGAGTCTTCCCCAAAGCGGGCAAAGACAATGGAAACAAGGCAGTAGCTGTGATATTGGGAAAATGTTAAGTTACAAGTATTTATTACCCTGTAGTGGAAAAGGCTGATAAGAAGACTGCTTTCTACCAAGTGAGTTAATATTTTAACATTCTCCAGCAAACAAATTTTATGAGATGCCAAGTGGCTGAAAAGTCCAGGTTCTAGCATAAAATTCTGGAATCACATTTTAGGAAAATGTAAAAACCAACAATCACTTTCTAGGACAGCTTCAGACTTGTGACCAGTGCTGACTCACCTTTACCTGACCCTCTCAGAGGGGCATGGTCAGGGGCCTCCTCCAAGGTCATTGAGCGAATCACAGTCTCACAAACAAACTGAGTCCCACTGATGTCATCCTCCCCTTCCTCCTGAGCTGGAACTCTGCCCGCTTCAGCTCCAGATCCTGTCCCATGAGGCACATCTGTGAACCAGTGACAAGAGGACAAATGTTGAGGCAGCAGCTTAGTGTTGTTTTGTTTGTTTGTTTGTTTTCTGGAGGGGAGCAACTTAGATTTTTATATCACATACCAACCTCTGTCAACAAAACTCCACTGAGAACTTTATATAAGTATGAATAGGAAACTCAGTTACCCATGATGCTGTTGATGACTTCTGTCTCTTCTTGGATCAAACCCAAAGAGGGGCTGCTCTTGTCCTGCAGGTGGCCATCTTGGGGCAGAGGGGACATGCAGGGAGTCATGTCTGCATGGAGCAAAAGAAAACAAAGATAGAAAATTTACTGAACTGATGAACTCAACAGACTGAACAAATAGTGTGAGTTGTGTGCGTCTATCAAAGGCTGTTAACATGACATTAATATGTCAGTCTGCATAGGACATTTGTTTAGACATTTAGTAATTGCTCATGTATATCGTTTTTCTTGAATAACATTCAAACTAATGCTGATATAAATGTGATTCCAAATGCTATGGATATCCTAGGTTTTCATTGTCAAGGAATCATATTATGAGGGTCAAATTCTCATGGGAATATTGCTTTTAAGTGTAATGGCATTATGGGAAAACTGAGCTGCCTTGGCAGAGGTTTGCACTCTCTGAGTGCTGTATAGTTGGTTGGTTTGTTGGTTGGATTGTTAACAGTATATCACAAAAAGTAATGAATGGATTTTGATTAAGGTTTTGGAGAGGTATGGTATGGCTCACATAAAAATCCATTAGATTTTGGTGCTAACCGAGATCATCGCCAGGATCCAGGAGTTTTTTTAAAAGGTTCTTCGCCATTGTGAGATTAGGATAATTGAAATATTTTAGCTTCTAACTCCATACACACTGCCTACAATGCCTGGACAAAAATTGCACAATAGCATCTACATAAGATCTACCATACACCACAGTCTGATTTGGATCCAATAATATTCTGGATGTGATGATCCAGAATGTTCACATTTACTATATAGGGCTAATGGAAAACTTACTATTGTGAGACATCAAATAATGCTAAAGACTTGCAACTAAGATCAAATTCTAGTTGAAACTCTGCTGACTCAGTAGAGGGTCAGTGAGTTTGACACATGTTCAACAGTTGCTGAGCTAGATCCTGCCGAAATCCGCCATTACTGAAATACTGTTTTTCTGTAATAACATTCAAACTAATGGCATCAATTTGATTCTAAAGGCTAGGGGTAGGTTTTCATGGGTAAAGAATTATATTCTGAGGGCAAAACTATCATGGGAATATTGTTTTTAGGTGGAATGACATTATGGGGCCAGTGAGCTTCCTTGGATGGAGGTTTGTGCTCAAACTATCAGCTCTTTACCTCAAGCTAGCAATGTGTGTGTTTACTTGGACATGGGTATCCCAGTGACAACTGGGTTTTGAAGTATCTTGTTTATATGTTTGAGCATCATGATATTCTGATTTCAGAAACTTTGATAAGCCCTTGTATCAGTTTTGTAGAAACCAAATATCCAGGTTCCCAAATGCTACTGAGAAGTATCTTTCTGTTAAGAAAGACTTAAACATACTTGGTAATTTAGATGGGAGAAATGCTGACCTATTCAGTTCTGTGGGAGACAGTTTACAGGGTGCCTGTTTCAACTGCTATAGTCAAATTCATTGAAGGTTGACAGTTATAGGAATGTCAGATTAATGTCAAAATTGCCACTTTGAGTTTGTAAACATCATAGGTGCCTGTGCAAAGAGCATGCACTGATCATTAACTAGTATTGCGCAAATGTCATATCCCAAATATGATAAAAACAGAATGTAAATCATGTACAACATGCCCAGTGTTCCGAAATGCAAACATCAACAACTGGAAGCCACTCTTCTTACCAGCAGGGGTGTTGTTTGGGACACTCTCCAGCTCTTGGACAATGTTGATGTCCAACAGCTCAAAAGATAGAAGATCCTGACACACAGACAACAACAACAACAACAACAACAACAACAGGTAGCAAATTAAAGAAGTTTTTGAGCTGCATAATGTGAAATGTAGGAGGCAGTGTTTTTTGACATTTGATACATACTAGATAAAATGTCAGAACATCTAAGCCCCTGCTGTCTCAGTTTCGACCATTCTTTTACACACTAAAATCCTGGGGTGAGTCATTTATTAAGAAAAATATGCTAAAATTGTTCTGGTTTCAGCTTCTGCAATGTGACCATTTGCTGCTTTTCTCTATTTTATAATGTGAACTGATTATCTTGGGTTTAGGACTCTTGGTCAAACATAAGAGATTTGAATGCTTGACATTTTACTGATAAAATTATGAATGAGTTAATTATAAAAAAATAAACTTATTCTAGAGAAGTAAGAAGCTATTGTTAGGCTATAAACAAACATCACCACCACAGCTTCCAATTTATAATCTGATTTTGCGAATTTACCTCTTCTACAAAATCCTTTCCTCTGAGTGTGGCTTGACCTAACTAGTGATCATGGCCTGTGCAGTTAGTTTAGTCTGCAAGTGTGCAAGTTTAAAAATAATGAGGCTGTAAAGGCGAGCTAGTGAGCATATTATTCTCTTTGTTCACCATGATGGCATTTAATATCACTGGCAACCTCTGTAGTCTCATTTAGCCACTTGTTAGCAACTGCCTTTTTAAGACATGTAAAAGCATAAAAACTCACGAGTGGGGTGTTAACTGACATATTCTATTTCATAGAACAGAACTTGAAAATGTATTGGCCTTGTCTTAACCACAGACATTATTTCAGGGGTCAAAAAAGCCCCCCTCTGATTTAAGGGTGAAGGAACCTCTTCTTCTTCTTCTTTCGGCTGTTCCCGTTAGGGGTTGCCACAGCGAATCATCTGTTTCCACCTAACTTTATCTTCAGCATCCTCTGCTCTCACACCAATTAACTTCATGTCCTCTTTTAGTACATCCATATATCTCCTCTTTCGCCTTCCTCTTGACCTCTTGCCTGGCAGCTCCATCTCCAACATCCTTCTACCAATATAACCACTATCCCTCCTCTGCACATGTCCAAACCATCTCAATCTGGCCTCTCTGACCTTGTCCCCAAAACAGCTGACCTGAGCTGTCCCTCTGATGTGCTCATTCCTAGTCCTGTCCATCCTGGTCACTCCTAAAGAGAACCTCAACATCCTCATCTCTGCTACCTCCATCTCTGCCTCTTGTCTTTTCCTCACTGCTACAGTCTCTAACCCATACAGTATAGCTGGTCTCACTACTGTCTTGTACACCTTTCCTTTGAGTCCACTCTTCTGTCACACAACACTCCTGACACCTTTCTCCACCCACTCCAACCTGCCTGCACTCGCCTCTTCACCTCTTTCCTACACTCCCCATCACGCTGGACTGTTGACCCCAAACACTTAAACTCCTGCACCTTCTTGACCTCAGCCCCCTGTAACCTCACTGTTCCACTTCCCTCCCTCTCGTTCATACACATGTATTCTGTCTTACCACGACTGACTTTCATTCCTCTTCTTTCCAGAGCAGACCTCCACCTTTCCAGGTGTTCCTCCACCTGCTCTCTGCTCTCACTACAGATCACAATGTCATCTGCAAACATCATTGTCCACGGAGATTCCTGTCTGACCTCATCTGTCAACCTGTCCATCACCATAGCAAATAAGAAGGGACTCATTTAAGGGCGAGGGAACCAAAGTGCAAAAATGCTAACTCCTATGACACTCCACTGCACTTTTATATAGGATTTTACACCATTTGTTCTGATTGCTTTCCTAAAAATATTGACTTTCATTGACTTTAAGACATGTAAACTGGTCTGCCATCACATTTTCTTACAACAGCATCTCTGAATTTATATGCATATATATGACATCAGGCTTGTTTCTTCTCTGCCACTGCCAAAATAATCATATGTAATATCCTGGTAATTACAGCCACAGTCCCACAACATTATCAAGAAATTTTTCTATCGTGATATTGTGACATTACAAGTATTGTTACACCCCTAATTATTATACGCAATCACTTCCACACAGAGGGTTTTACAAATTTCACACTGTGGAAAAAAAGAGCACTCAGATCAGTATTTAGTATTGACCAATACCAGTTAGACTACTGGAATCTGTATGGGGGAGAAAATGCTGGACTGGTTCATCTGAAGAAATAAATATGTACTGCAGTCTGCTGACTGTAGATTATATTACCTGTGCAGTGAGCAGGTCCACAGAGGGGATGTAGTACTCTTCCTGGTCCACCGACATTAAAGGTTGTTCCCTAGAACCTGAACAGGCTTTTCCATCCTTTGTTACTGGGTTCTTACCCTGTACACAAAAACAAACATTTCACCTATATATCCAGTATTTCTGTGTGTGTGTGTGTGTGTGTGTGTGTGTGTATATATTTATCTATTTGTGTGTCTATTAGATAAAAAATGTTGACACTGTCTAATTTCCAAGGCATTACTGTTTTCATTCAACCACTCATCTGTTCTACCTGTGGTGTGACACAGGGTGACACCAGTATCCCATCAGCCATCATGGGCGCTGGGGCCAGAGGGTCAACCACAATGCTGCACCATACCCTCGGACCAAACTGCTCCCCAGCGTGAGCCAGACGCCAGTGGGAGGTGTAGGAGCCCTCCATGGCAGGAGCGCACAGTGCAACACTCACGACACCAACCTGGACACACCAGGAAACAAAAAACATGCAGGTCATCAACTTTACAAACAACATATCATATACAATATAGTGCAAAAGTCAGAGTGGTAATGTGCTAACTATATCGAAAAAGCAAGGAATGGCATTTATGTGGAAAAAGTCTGGGTGATTTTCCAAAGATGACTGAAAATGAAAATGTCCCTCATGTTGCCATCTCACCTGTCCTGGCTGGAGGAAGGGAACAGACACTTCTCTCCAACGATCCCCAGATCCCACCGCCAGGTTCCCCCACATGAACTTCAGCTGCAGGTAGCAAACATAACATGCTCACCTATCAGTGAGAGTTTATTTGACTACACAACTCTCTACTTACTCTTACAGTGAAAGCTGAAAGAAGTTTATTACATGTGAACTATTCAATATGTCATTAATATATAGAGAAGGGCTCAGATAACTGTGTCTAATGTGAAGGGTGTCAAAGAATTATCACCAATTCTGCAGCCCACAGCCTCTAGCACCAGCACATTGCTTTGGCTGTATGGCCCACAGCTTTACTGTTTGAGTCTCAACACTCATTGGTTTTGTTTTAAGCAGCAGAACGCTGTAGGTTTCTGAGAAAAAAGCTTTAATACCCACTTTACACAATCTGTCCAGTAGTTAGCAGCAAACAGATACATTTAATGACTAGCATGTGTAGAGACCAAAACTAAAGACAAAAGACAAGTAATATTATATTTACCAGGTGGACACCAGCACAATTTCAGGTCAGTGTTAATGTGAAAAGGGGTAGCTGTGGCAAAATGAATTAATGCAGGTTCTCATGGCAGGCCAGAAAAACTATTTTTCAAAGTTCCATTTTGCTAAACCTTATGGGTAAATATGACCTTCTTAAAACATAAAAACAAACAAGACTAGGATGCTACAGCTATGCTTGCAGCTCTGTGTATACTTAGTCCCAGTAGTTGTTTATGCTTCATTGATCAGCAAGATAGCATGCTTAAAACTAGAATTACCACTTCACAACTTTATGCTTCTGCCATTCAGTCAAATTCCCAGGAACAGGACGCTTGTGAGGATACAGTGATCTCTGATGACCAAAATGTAAATGGTAAATGGGCTGTATTTATATAGCACATTTTCACAGTGTGTTGCACTGGCCAAAGTGCTTTACAGGGAGATCATACACCATTCACCCATTCACACACTGATGATGACAAGGCTGCCACACAACGGCGCTAATCAAGCCACCGGGAGCAATTCGGGGCTCAGTGCCTTGCTCAGGGACACTTAGGCATGCGGGGAGACCGGGAGTCGAACCACTAACTTGCTGGTCAGAAGATGACTTGCCTTACCTAAATGTAATCAGTTTATCCTTGGGTTCAAGTTCATCATGTTCATAGGACTGGGACAAACAGATGTATGGACAGGTGGAGAGACGGCCACATGGATGGACAGATGGACAATCCAAAAACATTATGTCTATGGCTATGGCTATCACCAGTACGAAAGTGTAATTACTGCTTTGTGGTAGTATAAAACATTCACACTGGGCTCAAGATATCTCTTAATCCAAGGTCTGCTGTATAAACTCATGCTCCCAAGAGGATAAACAGCATTTAAATGACTCCCTGAGAAGAAAGTAAATGACTACTGTATGGTCTTTACCTTAGTATCAGCGCTCCAAGTGATAGTTCCAGTGTTCCTCATCTTCCAGTACTTAATAAACTTGGTCCCAGGACGCAGTCGAGTCCCATCAGGAAGGTTCTCATCTAGAAACGCAGCCGTCATGGCTGGAACCACTAGAGGGCAGGGACGTTTTGGACGCCTGGGCAAGAAATAAAATCTGTATGTCCATCTATTGTGTGTCGGTGTTCAAACAATTATCATTTCTTGCACCTCCCAGAAAATTTTAATTAATCTATATTTGAAAAGTGTACCTGGCTGGTATAACCTAAATAGTAGTTCCCAACCATTTATTCAGTTTTACCCCTGCTTGGCAGTCACTGACCTTCAATACTCAGTAAATTATTTTCTTAATTGACTGAGGTTTAAGAACAATACTATGTTCTCTAATGTGTACCTGACACGTTCGTTTCAGTGACCTACTCTGGGCTGTTGTGCTGCGTGGCTCGAGGCTGCAGAAGGACAGGGGAGGAGCTTCCATCTCTGTGGGAGGAGCTCCACTGTATTCCCCGCCGCTCCATCCTCAGCTGTTTACGGATCTCTTTGACCTCTGCCTTCAGCAGGCGTTTCTCTGCTTTGAGACGCTGCTTCTCTGCCTTCCGGAAACTGCGGTCACCTCGCCGATAGAACCTGGAGGAAGGAGCCGTACGGCGACGGACAGGTGGAAACAAAGACAAGCATCATGAAGAGGCAGATGCAGACCACTGACCCAACTGGCCTTCTGAGTATAGGTCCAGGGACAATTCTGCTTGCTTCATTTATCCTTCAGATGTGTCTAGAACTCGACTGAAGTGCACCTGTTGCAAACTGAACTGATTGGACAGTGTTTGGCAAGGCGCACGCCTGGGTCTATAAGGGCCGACAGTTTACACTACAATGTCAGAAATAAACCAAAGCCAAACTTAAATTTGGGGGTAATTCGAGCTTTGTGTAATGTTAGTGCTTTGTGTGACATGAGCAGTGACCAGAGTGTTCCACTGGTTTTCCAAATGCACTTATTAGTCAGCTAACACTAGCTTACGACCAAAGGCTGCATTTTGCACAGTTTGATGCAACCGGGCATCCACATTTTACACCATCACTAGGAAACTGGACGTGATGGGAGAGGCAAAGCCTGGTTAGGAGTGGCATATGGTGTCAGTTTTGAGTCTCACTAGACCCTCTAGCAGTAGGAAAAAAGATATAGAATAGCTTTAAGTAAATTTTGCTGATAAAACTTCCATTTACTTGTATGGCATTTTCGGTGCTGGAATTTGACTTTTAATGGAGAGTTTTTATAATTCTGAAGTGCTATATTTACTTAGGTAAATGATCTAAATACTTCCTCCATCATTATTTATAATACATCACTATCTACCCCAGCCTGTAAACCTTAGTGTTAAAGTCGATGGAACAAGGTGATGATTTTTTAAACTGTCTACTAGCTACTGCTTCTCCTTCATGTCAAAATGAACATAATTAATGCTCTGTTAAAAATCAAGATTCCCTGACTTTTGTTAAATATTACATTAAAATATCTAAACATATATTAAACATTAAATATTCATAAATATGCAAAAATGGAAGCAGTGTTAAAGTAATTGTAACAGTGCTGTTGTGTCATACTTGCTGTGGTCAGGGGCAGGCGATCCATGTTCGGGGATGGACAGAGGAGTCCGGGCTCTCACCAGGTTGTGACTGGGGTCATGAGAGAAACTGCAGGGCTCACACAAGGTACAGGAGGTGCACACACTGATGAGAGGGAAGCAGGACAGGACATGAAGAGAGATACAGAGAGGGACGGGGGGACAAAGGCAGAAAATAGGCTGCTGTTATATCCTGTCACATTTATTTCACTATTTTTTGTATCACTGTTAAGTTACCATGGCTAACATTCAGCACTTCCTACAGATGTTTCACATTATAAGTCCATTGGCAACATGAGAAACTCCAGCCTTTAAGCCACTGTAAAGCTTTTAATGTGATACATTTCTCAGGTTATGCTGGGTTTTGCTGCTGGTTGCTTATCAGCTGAAGAAGCAGATCAATAAATGTGAAGGGGATAAATTAAAGAATAAAAACTGCTACTGATAGAATTAGTTTGGGGCGTTCCACCCAGAGTGACTTACAATCAGCCAGTTAGCTGCTGACAACACGTACCTGCACTGGTAACCTCCTCCGGTGGTTTGCCCCCTGCAGGAGGAGCAGGGAGGAGTGGAGGAGGATGGAGCTCCAGGCAGGGTGGAGGACACCTCAGGGACCTGCTGGGCTTCCGCTCCCCCTACTGTTTCCCCTCTACCTCCCCCTACTCCTCCTCCCCCTCCTCCTATGGGCTTGTGGATGCAGCACTGTCCAGAGAATTCCCTGCAGATCTTCTCCACTGCCTCGCGAACTACCTGGTCCTTAAACTGGAGGAATGAGGTGGGTAGAGTTGGAGAGTCTTTGTATTCCATCAGTTTAGGGATCGCACAAATGTAGTTTTCATACAGTCTAAATTGTTAAAATTCTTTGATATAGTGGAATATAAGACTGCTGTGTTTATGTATAAGGCCAGGAACAATTTATTACCTGGTGGAATCCAAAAGTTATTTGGTGAAAGGGAAGGGGGATATAACTTAAGGGGACATTTAAATTTAAAAGTTCATGCTATACGAACAACCAAAAAAAGATTTTGTATTTCTATAAGTGGGGTCAAACTATGGAATAACTTAACTGTGGACATGAAAAATAGTACCAGAATTAAGGAGTTTAAATATAAATATAAATGTATGTGTTATACAAGATATATGCACGAATAAGTAACAATCTGCTTTATCTATGTAGTGATATTGCTTGCAGCCAATGTTGCATAAATTTTGTATAATATGATGTCATGGGGTAGGACTGGATAAGTCTGACTTCTTCCTACTCCATTCAAACATGTAATAGGTGTAAGCAAACTGATTTTGAATTAGCATTGGTTGGATATGTGTAATCATGTGTGTTATTGTCATTTGATCATTGTTCTGTTCTGTTCTGCTGTTCTGCATGTTTGAAAGAATCAATCAATCAATCAATCAATCAATCAATCAAGTTTCTCCAGCAAAAAAACATGTGCTCATAGACAGTATCAGGGGAACAGATGGTATATAAAAATGAACAACGCGACACAGCTTCCTGCCACGATGCAAAAGTAAAGTTGTTTTTACCTTCTCCATGTAGGAGGTGAACCAAGCTGGAGGAGTCTTGTCTTCTTCTTTGGTGCCTTTCACTTCTTTCATGATCACCTTATCAACAGAAGAAAACAAAATTCATTCAGTAAAAACTGCATATTCACATCTTATTGGTGTAAATGACTGAACAGGTTATATTGAATTTTCACCAGTAACTATTACACCACCCACACTACTGGATGTACACACAAGAACACTAACACACGCAAAAAATGTCTACCACACACTGTGGTTATACATGAAGCTGTGATTATTTCTTGGCCAGGTGCAGTGACTTCCTGTTGTCTAGAAAAAGGGTCATGGTGATAACAGAACTCCAAGAAGTCACTGGCTTGGAAGAGGTCCGGTACATAACCCCCTTGTAAATCCACAACATGTTTTTCCACTTCAGTTTTTGTACAGATTAAGCAAACGAGATGAAACAAATAGATCAGCGATCTTTAGAGAAATTTTGTTACCTCTGGACAGAGCCGGGCCAGCTGTTTCTCCGTGTTCTTGGTCTTTGTGCAAAGCAAAACTAACCTCATGCTGGCAGATGCCTTTTATGTATCATACAGATATGAAAAACTCTTCACATCTAAGTCTTGGCAAAAAGGTAAATGCACAAATTTCCCAAAACAGCAATCCTTTGACTGTTTCCAACTTTAATTGCCATATATAGTAAATTGCATTCCTTTAAAAGATCCCAGCCTCAATCTAAAAATAGTTTTTTGGGGGAAAATAGAGCAAAATAAAAAGAAGACCATAGGTTGGTGCATCTGTGGTGTTTAATGTAAATATGGTGACACACACACAACCAAAAATTTGATCATATGTATAGAATCAAATACGCACATGGCTAATAAAAAAGAAAAGTCTCTGGCAGATACAGAGCAGGTCAACAATGTGAAGCACTAACACTGATATTGTAGCACTGAAAAGAAAACCAGACAACCAATGAAGAAGAGCCAGTCTTCTCTGCCTGGCCAAGGCCAGTCAGACTCTGATTTGTCATTTTCCTACGTCAGTATGACTTACTTTTGTTTTCTTTCTCTCTGTCAGCCCTGCTCTGCCACACACAACCAGCAAAAAGCTTTTAAGCTGTGGGACTAGGTGGAAGTGAACTCATAAATGAGGAATCAATAGGCAGTCTAAACAGAAAACGACATCAGTGGGACAGGAACCTCACCCACTACTGGTTGGTTAGGACAAAACATGAGCAGGAGGTTAGACTGGATGAATGAAGTGATAATTCAGTGCCTGACCAGACTAGCAAAAAAACATGCAACAAAAGGTAGGCTACTGTATATGCTATTAATTCAAAAAAAGGAACTGAATATTTTGTCCACATATTTAATTAATCTGAGGACACAAATGACACATCTCTACCCAATATAATAGCAACAATACTGGAGTGCACTCATGAGAAGCATCTGCCCAGTGGCAGCTGACTGATAAATAGTCAAAGAAATGCATTGTGTGGTCAATATGACATGCTGAGTGTTGGGGTCTTACCATGCCTTGTTCTGGCACTGCTGCCTGCACCTTGCGGCTGACCACCTGGGCCAGGGCAGGGCAGTGCTGCGGAGGTCTAAAGCCCCTCTTGGGCTCTGCTCCACTGGCCTTGGTGGTGGGGACCCTTGACAGCTGGCCTCGAGTCTCGTACACATTCATGTGCAGTCGATTACCCTGCCTCAAAGCACTCTGGGAAATGAGTCAATGGGTTAGTCTCACTTGGTGTCATTTTTGGGTCAGTTTGCCAAATAAGCTTTCTACTAATAAGAACAAAAATGCTGTCATGGAGAAGACTGATGTCTTCTGAAGAACTGTAGTATTTAACACGCATAAAAAGACATAGCAAAAAAAGAGAACACTGCCATCTCACAGGGAAATAAAGTGAAAGCTATGTAGCCAATGGCCATACTACATACAAACACAATCAATTTTAGCTAGTAACGCACTAAATATTTCATCTAAACAGTCAAAGTGTAGATTGGAAAAGTATGTGATCCTCTAGGCTAATGACTTAAACAAAAGCTAACTGGGGCCAGGAGTTAATGAACATTAAGTCCAGTCAATGAAACCAGTTTGGAGGTGTGGGTTAGAGCTACTTTGACTTAGAAAAAGATGCAATAACTCTAGTCTGTGGGGGTGTTGTTCAGTTCTCAGGGGAAACCCTAATAAAATCCATTAATGCTGTTATAAAACATATAATAAAATATTTCAATATGAAATTCCAATGCAGACATGCAAAATCATTTTGAAGTATATAATTAAGGGTCATAAAAGTTTGATCTAGAAGGGAGCAAGGTGGTCAAAGTGGGTGGGACTTAAGAGTCAGAAGCATGATGTCACAATCCCACATCATTCAAATGTCGTAAATCGTGTCTCGACACCTCAGTTTGACAGGAGCAGGATTTTTATACTCTCTTAGTGCTGTGAGAAAGAATGGTCAAAAAATTCCACTGGAACAGGACCAGAGCTACAGGATACAGGATTCTGACCATACCAGTCTCTCTAAAATTCCACTGGAACAGGACCAGAGCTACAGGATACAGGATTCTGACCATACCAGTCTCTCTAAATGGCAACATATGACATGCATAGATACAGTCAGAGGGAAATTTCCTGCAGGAAATTTAAATTGCATCTGAAAATAATGAAACCAAACCTGTCCCTGGCCATATGCTTGAAGAAACACAACAACCTTGAACCAGGCTCAAAATCCGAAACCTTTTCAGGGCCTCTCAGATTTTTAGCAGGACTCCACTTAATAGTTAGCAAACAGCCTTTGCCAACTATAATTTGAACAATAGATAATTGGCAGAAAATGAATGTACAATCTGTTTCACCTATCCAAAAAATGTATCTCTTGCATATAATAAAGTTTGAATATTGGCACACAGTGTAATCACTGTTAGTTAGCACTGTCACATAATAAACAGGCAATGTGAGCTGAGCTAAAACATGGCGTACACTACTTTTTTAATATTATTGTTTCCCATAAGCACATAAATGTGAACAGTAATTAAACTTTACATGAACTTACCTTTATTGCCTCCTCATACTCCACTGGAATATAGGCAGAAACAGTATTTATTTCAATATGGAAACATATTCAACATAACAGATTTGTTGTTTAACATATGGCATCTCATGACCGTTTTTCGCTTACATACCTTGACTGTTAATTGAGACCTGGAAGAAGAAAGGAGAAGACTTTTGCTGAAAATCTGAATATTTTCACTGTGGCACCACTTTGTTATTTGTTTATTGATACAGTTCAGGAACTGAAGGGGCCTCCACTCCACCGGCCAGTTTATTTGTCAGGGGAATCAGCCTATAAATACTGTTATATAAAATGTTCTGTGGCTCTGGAGGACCATTGTCCACATAATATAATCCCGATGTCCTCCATCTTTATGGAAGTGCAATACTATACTCATACTTTACTTTAAAAAAGGTAATAAAATGTGGGGAATAGGCAAATAAGTCCAGTCTCTCACCTCCTCATTTTCCTCATCAAAATAGGTCAGCTGAAGACTGCACAGGCCAAAGGAACGCTTCACCTGCACACAACACACACACAGGAAGATAAAGGGTCTTAATGATGGGTCAGCTGTCTTTTAGCCACACCCACACCGGATGGCTAATGTTCATCCCTGCTCAGCCAGAGAAAGGTGCGTTCAGGCAGTGGGCTGCATTCATGCTCCTGTTGGCTCTTTACCGGCTCAAAGCTGGACACAGTATTCTTGTGACATTCTTCCTTCTGTGGCTCTTTGTTATACTTCATTATGCTTCCCCTGGAAGCGATAAGAGCTCATGTCGTATGTATTATTCAGCAGTTCACATCAAATGAAAACCAAATACTGATAAACACTGTAAAGCGAACCCACTTGCATCTCTCTCTTTGGTAAAACGGCAGCTCACAGTTAAGTCTGACATCTGTAACTCAGCAGCAGTCAGACAAATGAACTCTTAGAGACTGCTGTAGCCAAAAGGGAAGGACCATAAATCCAACTGAGCAGAGCTCCAAGCCTACATTTCATCTTCTTACTTGACACACGGTGCTTAGTGATTTAGAATAAGTCTTCTGGACTTTTGTCTTCAATGTTTCCAGTAGTTCGAGGTTGATTCTAGCTGAGTGGTTCACTATTAGGCATTTTCCACTGTTGGAACTTAACAAATACTAAGCTAACATGGCCATTATTCACAGGTTCTGTTTTAATTCCCACTGTTCTCACTGCCCAGGAGGAAAGTTCCAGGGACCATCAGGGGCTCTTTGTGGTGCGACTGGTCATGCAGATGGTATGTCACACTTCAATGAGGATGACTACAGCAAAAACATTTTTATTAAAGATGAATTGATTGATCGGCTGGAGATTCTGGCTCTATGCCGATCATATTGACATGCACACATGTCGCACACACAGTGTGCTAAAAGTGTAGTGTGTGTAGCATGTAGCATCTCGTGTGCAGCTCGCACGAGACTTATGCTCACATCTATACCAGTCATGTGTGCACAGAGGAGCCTACAGAAACACCTTGGAGAAGGGAAAACTATGACAAAAGTCTGACAAATAGGGAATTACTGGCTACATATGAGACATGTATATGTACAGTGTATCTGATTCATGGTAAAACACCAAATTAAAAACTACCTACACTTTAAAATGAACTGCATGTTCAGTGGGTGTGACGTAACAGACGTTTTTCTGTTTCTATTAGCTGCTGCACCAGTTTACATTTGGATAACTACAAAGGTTGGACTTCATTTTATTTGGCTTGTTCTAAAAAAAAGGTTTATTGTCAGATTTCTTTACATGAGGGAAAAGATGTAAAATGTCAAACTAATTTAATATGTTTTATTTGTACTGTACTACAAAGTCTGTATATGCTCTCAGTTGCAGTTCTTAGAAAGAAAGAATATTATTATTAGCCAAAATCGGAATCACCAGTTCAGACTCGGAAAACAATCAGAATTGGCAAACAAAATTGCAATCGGTGCATCTCTAATTTTTATATTTTTGTCTTAAATTTCTCTTCAGACTGAAGAATACCACCTGTTCAAGAGGAGGTGCACATCCATGACAGCTGATATCAGGTACAGTATAATCAATGCCCCCAAAACTGTTTTATTTCATTTGTGGAAAAGTATCACTCAGCTAACAGCAGATGAGGACACACTGTCAAGCCAACAGAGACTGGAAAGAGACCTGCAAAAAGACCCTGAGACAGCGACAGGAAGGTGAGAATGTTCCTATTTTCGTTGCTACTGAAGTGCAGAAGCTGCTGTAAAGAAATACGCCAATACAATTTCTCAAGTCTAAAACAGCTCTCAGTAAACTGGAAGGGATGATGATGGTGAACAGAACATTAAATTAACAAAAAGTCTGTTATATGCTGTATATTACTGAAATGGGTGTAACTGAGAATCATAAGCCATGATCATCCTTAAATCCAAAAGTGCATTTCCCCTTGAGAAGAAAGGCGGTTTATTTGTTCAGGACTTGTACCACTGGTTTGTGAACTTGTGAAGTGTGAGAAAACTGATGAATGCTACAATTATTCTTAAACCTCTGGTATGTGCGCCATCAGAATTAGTTCATATGACCGGTTCTTGCATGAGGCTCAGTACAGATTGCCACACACTAAGCTTCCATAATTTACTGGTACAACCACTGTTTTGACCACAACTGGTCTTTTTCAAGGAAAGAAAAACAGTAGTGCTCAGTTTTGTTTGTTAATCCATTCGCATCCCTTTCCATTTAAAAGTTGTTGACCCCCCGATTATCCAATCAGGATTGTGTGAGATTCAGACCGCAGTCAGATGACAACAGCTGTCCAGTTGCCAGAAATGTCACTTGTGATCCCCATGGTGACTCATCAACTACTTGCTTGGCATGAATGGCAGCCACAGAATGACGCAGATTGATTCTGCTGTCTACATACAGTGTGCCTCAACCTGTTTCCCCAAGCACTTTTCTGACTTTATCAGTCAGTGTTTGTATGTATACAAACACCTATGAAGCAAGCATTTGTACTTCTGGATGAATGTGCTCCTATTAAACTGTAGGCAACCATGGCAACAACACTGGAACTTCACCAATAGTTCTGGAAAAAGCCCATATTGTAGCTGCGTATTCAAGAAAAAAAACAATTGAACAAATTAACAGTGTAGTGGAGGAATTTAACATTTTATTGAACCTGACTGAGAAAGGTTTCTCAGTGTTGCTACTCGTGGCCACAGACATACTATGAATTTTCTTAGTGACAGTGGTAATGGTTTGTTGTTAAAACCCGAAACAAAACATTTAAATCATTTAAATCATTTAAAATAAATGCTGGGTGTAAAGAAGAATCATAAGAATACTCAACAAAGTTCTGGCACATTTTAACCTGCACTGATAAGTTCCTGTACAACTAAAAACTATTTTTCATGTTGAACTCCAGGGGCAGTTAGACATACTTATCAAACCAAATGTGGTACGGGTGCCAGCTAACCACACTTTACTTCTCCGCTAGCAGAACAATACCTTACAATAAGACTAGGTTGGTGCTAAAACAACACTTTTAAAACAGTACCAGTGCCAAACGTTAAAACAGTACCAGTGCCAAACGGTACCAGAACCCATACTATTAAAAACAGCAGCATAAAACCAGGCCATAGATTTCATACATTTTCAGAGGGCACAAAGAGTGCTATCAAACCCATTTTTTCTCTGTGTTGCGGGTAAAAAAAAAAAAGTTCAACTTGGGCATACCGCTCTGTGATGACACCTTGATGTGTCCAATTGCAGAGAATCTGACAGACCACAAAGAAAATGGAGGAGAAGCTGATTTTGGCAGACCCACACCCTCTTCTTCTTGGCTGAAGCTCGTCTCCTCCTCTTCATCAATACAACTAAAGCCAGAGCTTTTCACTGACATGTAGACAGATACATCGTACATTCAAAGTCCGCTGCTCGAAAAACTAGTTAACATATGATAACTACCTACTAGAAAGCTTTTTGGTTGCCTAGCAACTGGCTCCCAACATGTGTGCAACTTGCTCGTGTGCCCCTCCTCCCCTGTGCCCAATCCCCGCAGCGAGCACAGCGCATACCGCGTCCTATCTGAAAGACCTTTTACAATGCCTGCCTTTTGTTCTGGTGGGCCAGTTGCAGGGTCCTGGTGTTACTCATACGGTCATAAACAGTAAGCCACTGGCATCACTTACTGGAAACTTTCATTTGACTTTCAGTTATGTCACAATGCTCCACATTTTAGAAATATGAAAAGTGCTGTACAGCTGGTAGCAATGATGCAAAATGATGATTAGTTAGTGCCTGAAACCTCAATACGGAGTCAACTGCTGACTGTTAAAAAGGTGAAGGAGGGAGTGATTTCAGAAACAGACTGGAATACACTTGTTTTTTTTATGTGCTTGTGTTTTGTCTATTTGCATATACTTTCTTAAACTGCAACACACTGAGCTGTCAGGGAACCTGTACATTTACTGCATTGATCAGGACAGCATGTAAACATGGAGGAAGTGATGAGTCTGCATTAACAGCAAATTAAAACAGTAACTGCTCAGAAAATACAAAGACAGTTTTCTGCAATGTGATGAAAAACATATAAAACAAAGGAAACAGCATATATAGCATTAAAAGTATATATTCCTGATTGGTCAAAAACGCATTGCCAAGCTCTCCTACAAAAGCTCTCACTCCAGAATTGACAAAAATGACTGTTAAGGCTCATGCTGGGCCTTGTTTGCAATAATGCTGCCAGTTTATTAACACCTTATGTAGAAACTAAGCACTGACATTAGTTAAGGTTTCCATTTATGCTAACAGACCCAGATTAACGTAGATCAACTGCTCAGACTAGTTATGCTGAACTGGTAAACTGTGTTTCCATGACGACATATCATTATCATAATCCTGTGAGGCCTTCTAGTGTATCCTGCCTGTCCTCTGTGCTCTCTGTTGATCTGTCTCACAGCTTTGATGTTTTCAGCGCACACAGGACACAAGCTGATTCAGTGGCATCGATCTAACAGTTTATCCGAAGCAGATATTAACACAAAACAACACAGTGTTTCATCATGTGCTAACAGCGGCAGACTAACAACAGGCCCGGCGATTGTCCCTATCTTACCATGGCCTCCATCGACTCCCAGCTCTTAGTCTCGGATCCCGACACGAGGACATTCTTGGAATTTCCTCTGAAATTCACCTTCAGATTGATGTAGAAGTCCATGGCGTCGCCTGTCTGCGCTTTAACACATATTACACACGACGAACACGGAAGGTTTTCCTACCAGGGAGGGATACTTTGAGTAATCTCGTCAATTCAGTCCACTGTGACTTGTTCAACGAGGCGTATTTTGTGTTTACATCAGCGTTATGGGCGTGCTATGGGGAACGCCTACCATGCACCATGTATCCGGAAAATCGAGAAGCGTCCGGCTGCGGCGTGCAGACCTCCCGAAGCCACGCCCCCTCGCGTTACGCCACCGAACCCACGCCCCTCGTGATACGTCACTCAAGTCATGAAGCCACCGCTGATTTTTTTTTTTTTGAGCTTCGAAACTTGTTTTTACAACTTTATTTCATAGACTAAAGATATAATGTAAGGAAACCACAAGAGCACAGAGCCAGGGGTAAACGTAATAAAATAAAGGAAAAAATAAAGGCAAAGCTACATATTTTTAATAAAAAGCAAATATTTTTGACAAGCATACAAGTCTATAAAGCTTTTGCATTGTCAGAAGAGGAGATAGTCTTTATGCAAATGTCAGTGTAATTACAAAAAGATAAGAAGCAGGTTTTGGTTTTTTCAAATTTGCAGTTGTGTAGAAAATATTTGCCTTGAAGCACAATTGAGTTAATTAAAAATTGTCCTCCATGACCATGAACACCAAAAACAAAATTCTCAAATTAGAAGTCTGCAGACATCTTTCCAAAATGTATGGCTCAAAGTTTCCATGTGGCTACCACACAAAGAACAGTTAGTCTTCAAAATGTCTAAATTTCTTTTAAAAATGTTCTATTGGATAGCAGCTGTGCATTATCTTATATGCCACATCTTTCACTTTATTTACCACAAAGTATTTCTGAGGTAGACACCATACTTTGGTCCAGTTAATGCCATGTACATACAGTATCTAACTGTGTCATTAACTGGTAGCACTAGTGAGAGAAGCAATTTCCCTTTGAAATAAAGAGTGAATTTTCCTATTGTTCTTTGCTGAAAAACATATTTTTCCAGTTGAGCACTCAGCTGGATCAATAGAAGGAATTGTATTTGGATGGGGCAACCTTTGAATAACATTAGTATGCTAGTGTGAATATCACCAACACAGCAGAAATTTACTTCCTGATAAGTAAATTTGTACCAAATTACATGGTGCTCCATTCAGTATGTTGAGTTATTGAGTTATTTCAGTGGGGGAAAAAATCAGGGGATCATCATAGTCATTAGGCTAGCTACATCCTATGGGGGCCGTACCTATTTATATAACATTTTGTGACAATCCTTTCATTAAAGGTTGAGAAAGATACAGGAAAAAATGAAATTTTTCTTCCCCCACTGGCGCCAGAGGAAAAGTCAATGTATCACCAGATTCAGCTGGATTCGTCCCCAGGGCACCACAAAATATTTGTACAACCAACAGTAGTTGAAATATTTCATCCTGGACCAAAATGGTGAGATACACCAACATGTTAACTAATAATAATTATTAATAATACATTTTTCCATTTTAAATGCTTATTTCTAACAGCAGTGTTGTTAAATACCATTGCAAAACTGACCATACTTTAAAACTGCAGATTAAATAACGTATCTTAAATCTGTAACTTTTTCTTCTCCTTTTCTACAACAATCAGACTTAAGTCTTGGATTTAAAACATCTTTATGTATCATTCATGGTTGAACTTGCAAAACTCTGCTTCATCAGGACTGTAATCAGATTTGGATTCAAATGTCATTACATCATGACTGATACACTAAAGCATGCCACATCACCTCTATCCAGCTGAGACCATTTCAAATTACTAAGAAGAGCACAGATAAAAACAGAAATGCAGAAATATCTCATGTGAAATAACCAAAACATTGGCAGAAAATGTGTTCATGTAAAGCACCTTCACTCCTAGGAAGAGGCTGATTGTTTTCAGGACTACTATAATCTCAAATCTCTAATAATAAAATGACTGAGCTCTCCCTAGTGGCTGATATATGATGCTTACATGAAAGGCTCACACTTGGCATTCCAGTGCAGTGCTGGTTTCAGAATGGTCACTTGCTTCATAGCAGCTTCTCTCCCTTGTACCCCAGCACGGCAGTTACACAGCAAGGAACAATAGCCACAGTAGCCAGAGGTACAGTGGCACTTTTACAGAATGACAGCAGATAGAACAGAGCTCCACTGTGGGCAGGAAGCTGAAAAGCAGAGTCAAGGAACTGCAGCAACATCAGTGTTGCACTTAAACAGATAAACCTGTAGATGGCGTCCTCACCTCTCCTGCTAACCAATATTATATTGGAGTGTGCATGCAGAGGGGAATGGAGCCCGAGACCAAGGCCCAACAGAGTCCCACTGTTTCTAAACAAGCTGGCCAAAGGACTAGTGTCCATGCTGACCCACTCTGCTCGGCGACACCAGCGCTGCGCTTTCTCCACACTCCAGAGGAGGCTGACACCTACCAGCCAGAGGCACACGTACATGAGGAGAGCCAGGGAGAGGAGGAGCAGAGAGGTGAGGAAGAAAGAACACAGGTAGGCGTTGAATATCTGCCGGGTCCAGCTGAGGGATTCTGCCACTAGAATACCTGGGAGCATAAAGTATATTATTGATATTATTGTATCATTTGATGTAAACTAATTACCTTTGTGTGTGTGTGATATGATAATGTGCAATAATTGCCTTTTTTCTTACAATTTTGAATTACTATATTTAGATTGCAAACTACACCTTGTAGAACCTGTACTGGCAAAATGGAACTTATTTACAGTACCACAACTGATATCTTAAAAAATGGATAATTAACCATTAACATTTCCAATCCCAAAATAATATTTCTACCTACTTTGGCTGGTTCACACAGGGGCCACCACAGCGGACTCACACAGTTCACATATTTGATCTGGCACAGTTTTTCTGCTGCCCTTCCTGAAGCAATCCTATGGGCAATTAATCAACTTAACCTGCATGCCCCTGGACTGTGGGAGGAAGCCCAGTAAATTTCTAAGTAGAGAGTTTTGTATCTCTCTCTTTCTCTATCCTGAAGCAGTCCATGTCCTATGTGATCATGAAATAAACTTTTAAAAATGATGTATTTCAACAGTATGCTTGTCTCACATATATGTGGATTTTGTTGTGCAGTTTTGTCTATCTTGAGACAAATGTACGAGGTAGAAAATCAACTTTGTTTTTCTTACTAATTTAATAAGAATCATGATTTTGATTTAGGAACTTATAATTTCTTAATTCGCTTACTTTACCGCGTAAGTTTTGATTCTGACATGGAAGTCACATTTTTATTTTCAATTCATTTCAATTGTCATCTGATCTCACAGCATCTCATAATTTGAGAACTTTTATACTGTCACATTTTTTCACAATACTAGTTTCACTTGTATATATAGACTACACACTGTAGGTGAAATTTCTATCATGACTTACTATCTCATATTTATGACCCTTTTTATCAAATTTCTTTTTCTGGCAGAAATCGGTTTCCATATTAATTATACAAGGGAGGACTTACTGTATTATGTATTTAATTTAGATTTAAGCTAAGAAAATAAAACATATTAGTTTCTAAGTAGGACATGTGGAACTTATTTCAGCTTCTGCTATCCTCGCTAACAGAGCAGTTCATCTAAAGAAAATTAATAGAATTGATATATTAATTAACTCCAGGTTGATTTTAATTTCAGAAGATATAGTAACAAGGTGCCATTCTGCTTTTCTTTATTATTTGGGTGACTTGCATGCAGCATGATATGCACTCTCTGTACCTATGATAACTCCAATAATGACTTCATGTGGGAAGTGAGCAGCAACAAAGACTCGGGAGAGACACACGGACACCTGCACACACCAAAACAGCATCCACAATGAGACACACACCTGAAGAAAAGACACACCCATGTTATTGCTCTGACTAACAGATGCCATACAGTGAATACAGGTGAGGGAGAACTTACAATTTCCTGATTCCCTGTCCTTCCTTCTTCAGTACTGTGGCAAGGAGTGATGATGTCATGGTGTAGTAGACTGCTGCAGCCCCATAGCATGACCAGATGGACTTCCTCTCAGAAGAAGAAATCAACTTTTTAAGAAACATTTGATACTACATTTAAGTCAAGCGATAGACTTCCTGTCAGAAGAAGAAATCAACTTTTTAAAAAACATTTGATACTACATTTAAGTCAAGCACAACTCATTCACGTTACTCTTACCTGGTCCAGTTTCACAAGTGATGGGAAACTGCTCTATTATTGGCTGTGAGGAGTTCCCATAGAAACCTGTCTCCTGAACCCACCAATAGGGACGCTCGCCCAATAGAAGCAACATCAGGTTAAGGGAGTCTCCCACTACTGCCACCCAAACCAGTTTGATTGCCTCAGCTTGCTCTACATGAAACCATATGGGGAACAACAGGAAGAAGGTGTTGTATATGTCAGTTGCCATGGAGACTAACAGGAAACAGTCCTGGTTGTGGCTGTAGTGAGTCTGCAGGTAGAACGTACTGCTCACACCAGAGCTGTGGAGCAAGTCCATTATTGCTGCAAAACAAAGGAGTGAACGAATGTGTCATGGCTTCTATTTATGTGTTTAGAAGTAACTCCCAGAACCACAAAACCATTAGTGCAAGACGTTCTCAAGTCCTTTACTTAAGTAAAAGTAGCAATACAACTATAATAATATTTTTGTTTCAAGTAAAGGTCCTGCATTCAAAATGTTACTTAAGTAACAGTACAAAAGTATTAGCAACAAAACATACTTAAAGTCAAAGTAGTCATTATGCAGAATGGCACATTTAGTGTTATCATATATCATATTACTGGAATATAATTACTGACGCATTATTATGTTCATCACATTTAATGTTGCAACTGGTAAAGGTGGATCTAATTTAACTAACATATGTTTATAATCTGAATTACTGCTGGGAAGCTTCTGAAATTCTCATTGAAGATCAATAGTCTTAAGATTATACAGCATTTTTTGTATTAATCTGGTTGTGAAAAGTAACTAGTTACTAAAGTTATAAAATACATGTAGTGGAGCAAAAAAAAAACAACTGAATATTTGCCTATAAAATGTAGTGAAGTTGAAGTATGAAGTAACACAAAATAAGAAAAGTACAAATATCTAAAATTGTATTTAAGTAGAGTACTTGAGTAAATGTACTTAGTTACTTTCATCTACTGCACAAAACACAAGGACAAGAAAATGGAGTAAAGTACAATAAAATACATTAAAGCAGGTGGAACCTTAAATGGTGAAAAAAAGTTTACATTGCAGCAGCATCTGAGAACATGGCAATGGTAAAGAGTCCACTGGTCAACACAGACCTATCTTAAAGCATTAAACCACAACTAAGACAAGGAGACAGCAATAACCCTGCTATGCCTGGAAAAGGAAATAAGTGCTTATGTAATAAAATTAAGCAGACAGAATTATACTTACAGAATTCTGATAATGATATCCTGGTGTCAGTGTCTGTTCCTGGTGCCTGAAAATTCAGTTTGGATGTAAGCAGTGCAAAAAGGTCAGTCTTCGAGTGCTGCTATAAACAGCAGTCCTATCATTACAGCCAGGGATGCTGGTGTGTGTATATTAGTGACTCCTTCATTTAGGTGGTCTCAGAGGTGTCTACTAATCTGCCCAATGACAAAGCCAGATATGATCATATGTGTGTCCTCATTTCCTGAGTACATTTAAAATCTGCTTGTGGCCATTGAGCATTGTAATAAATTTGTTAAATCTATTTGCAAAAATCGGATCAGTGCATGCAGGGTTTGCGTCTGTGATGCATGAATGGGTCATGAGTATATGTGTGGCTGTGTGCTTGTAGTGAGACTCAAGGGTCGCTTTTATATTCAGCCAGATCACCTGGTCTGCAGGCATGGACTTTGGACTGGAGTGACACAGGGTCAGTAGAAGCCATGGGGTGGAGGGGCAAGTAGAGGCTTGACAAGATGACAATGGTAAACATACCAGCGTGGTTTTAGTACCTGCGAAACCAGGGTAGTCAAAAACAGCCCAGCAGTGTTATGTTTGGCATGAAGCTTTAGCCTCAACCTGTAAGCATGATGTCATATTTGTAGCCATCAAGTACTAATTTTAAACTTCTTGTTTTGAAATGAATCAGCTGGAAACATGAAAGTTAAGTACAGCCATGTTCTGTTGCCCAAAATCACTCCGTCATTCACTCATTCACTACTCATGATATGATATAGGTTATATTACAACATTACAAGTAGGTCATTCACTGGTGTGCAGTAAATTTTGGGCACTTGCTAATCGTCATCAATCTGCATCATCACTAATAGCTGTAGAGAAACTCACTGGTAATTTTCCCACTGATTAAACATGGAGCCTTGCAATTGTGTGAAACTGTTAGCAGAAAGTAGTGTACAAGCCATCTACACTACCTTTTGCACTGTGGAATTTTTGAGTCCACGATGTAGAAGATATATTTATATGCTCAGCGTCTGGACACCACTACAAAATACTGAACACAGTATAGTGCACTATACACTCACCAGACATTTTATTAGATACACCTGTACACTTGTATGCAATTCAGTGCAACACTTCTTGCTTTAACATCTGTATTTAAGAAATTTAAAATGTTTTCAGTTTTTGGTGGTCATAAATGTATAAATTCAATTATAAGTTTATTGAGGGCATAGTTTAAAATTGTTTTGTACTGGATGACATTACTGTATATTCAGAGGTGTTCTTCAGTTAGCTCAGGTAGAGCCTAGGGTGTGGTGAAGGCACAATGACAGGACAATAAACATGTAGTATCACTATGGGTGTATTAACAGAGCTGGATACAGCACTGCCTCTCAGCCTTGCTACCAATTTTTCCCAGTGGTCACTTATCGCAGTCATTGGCATTGCAACAAAAAATCCCCCCTGTGCCCCAAAAGTGTTTTTCCCATAGGCCACAATGATAAAAGATAAAAATAGTTTTCATGTTGACGAGCACTTTGTTCAACCCGTGTGACACTGTTCCATTTCCCAACCACAAGTTTCCACTGTGACAGAGGATCAGGCGCACGTACTGTAGGCATGCATGTTCACATGTAAACACATCTGCTGGTCCGCAAAAACATGCATGGATACACCCAGAGTGTGTCTGACTGAGCATCCTCTGCACACCCTGTCCTCACCCTGTCCCAGCAGATTGTCTTCCATTCCAAACTCAGGTCATTATCTTTTTTTTTTACAGCCCTTACACTTCACTTTACTGCCATTAATGTCTTTCTGCCACTTGTAATCTACTGAACATGTATCAAATCTAAAATCATCAGTTCATACAAATTTTTAAAATAGTGACAGACACACACAGAAGCACAATAGCAATATATCTCAGTACTATTTTCTCATTTATAAAAGACATGATTTACAAATGTATGAAACTATTTATTTTCTTGTACACTGTTCCAAAGCTGTTTCAAACACCCACTCAAAAAGGAAGGGTAATTACTAATCAATGATGGCAGTGAGACCATGGAGCTATTAAGAGAATAAGACATCACATTGCAAGATGGCATCCCATTCATTCCTATGAATCATTCTGTGGGTGCATATGCTGAAAATGGTTTTCACAGGCTTAACATAAAACATGAGCATCAGAGCCCGTCCAGTCAAGCTGATAGAGAGCATCCACTGTGGAAACACTATTACTTTTGGATAAAAATGCCTGAAATCACACAAGCACACCCAGTGTACACTAAGCACAATCAGAACACATATATCATATTATATTGTAATAACATTGATTACATCCACAGCCTCACTGAACCCTGTAAATATTTGCTCTGTCCAGTGTGTAATTAGGGACGAATAATTATAAATCCATTTAATATTCTTAGGAATTCTTGGGGAATAAGGATTACTTAGGTAGTCAACATTTCATTTCAGATACTTTATAAGGCAAGAAAGAAAAACAGACATGTAAAATGAAACTAGAATTCAGCTTTATTTAAGTAATGTCCACAACAAAACTCACAGTGCGTAAGCGTCACCATTGCAAGGCTTTACAACAACCACTGCGCCAGCAAATATCACCCACATGCTCAATGAATGAAGATTCGATTATAAGCCACTTCCGGCTTTTTCCCGTTTAGGGGTCGACACAGCGAATCCTCACACTGACGACTCGCATGTTGGCATTTGGCACGTATTTTACGTCGGACGTCCTTCCTGACGCAACTCTGACTCGAACCCGGGCCCAGCGGCGAGAGCGCTGCGCCTTAACCACTAGCCTACCAGGGATGGCTGGGTGTGGTTATGTAATTGGGGTGGAGATTCAAAGATTTGTATTGAGAAACAATATTTTTCGCATTAGGACACTTCTCGCGCTATGAACCACTATCCGACTGGTTTGAACCAGTCAGGTGACGTCATCAGTCACATGTCATCAGGCCCGGCCCTAACCAATTTGGCGCCCTAGGCAAGATTTCAGGTGGCGCCCCGTTGCATCGCAGTAAATTCCACTGCTAGTGTATATACTCATATAACATCATATATGACAACTGATTTGAGACCACATGGTTTATGCTTATAATGGCAAGTCCACTGAGACGTTCTTGCATCATAGTAGATCTCAGGTAAGTTTTAATCAGTTTGAGTTTAGAGAAGCTTCTTTCAGCAGCAGCCACTGTAACAGGAAGAGTGGCAGAGATTCTCAATGCAACCCACATGTTGGGGTAAATTTCTGCCAGCTTCTTCTCATGCAGGAAGGTCAAAAGTTCCATGTTTGTCATATTGTTTGATGGCAATGGTGGGAAATTCTTCATTTCCTTTGCAAGTTCTGTGCCATCAATGTCCGGCTGGCTGTCATGGGTCAGAGCAGTACTTAGGGTTTGACACTTCTGTAGCAGGTCCTCTTCTTCTAAGTTGGGGAAATCGAGGAGCACACCAAACGTGTTATTCACCTCTCCAAGATTCTGAAATCTCTCATCAAGTGAAGAGATGGCAGTATCCACGACCACATTAAAAAATGTGGTTTCCATTTTTCGTAGTGCATCTTGTATGGGCTCATCTGGAGACTCATAGCCAAAGTGCCTTTTTGTGGTTCTCAAACGCTTTTGTTTGAGTTCAGCCTCCACATTCATCTCTTCACACATCTTCTTTGCAATTGTCTGTGCATCAGAAAATCCAGTGTTTCTGTAACTGGTGAGGGAATCTCTGGTTTTCTTCAGCAAGTCGACAGCCACATCAAGCTGCATGGAGGGTGACTGCATCAGTTTACTGACATGCTGGATCTTGCTGAGAATGTCATACCATATGGCTGTACAAATGCAAAAGCGATAGGATCCAATCTCCTCAGCCAAAGACTGGGCTTCAACTCTCACCACAGGGTCTGCAGTTTTTCCCCTCACCTCCAGAAGAGCCTCTCTGACTTGCCCAGCCTGATACCTTACTGCCTCAATGCTTTTTATCCTGCTCTCAGCCCATGATTTCAGAGTGATTTTCACATATTTCAAGAGGACATCCCACCTATGGGTGGAGGCTGAGAAGAGCTTGAATAACTTTGTCAAATGCCCAAAGTAGCCAAGGGCATCTGGTGAGCTTTTTGCAGCATCAGCTACTACCAGATTTAAAGTGTGGGCACCACATGGGACATAAAAAGCTTATTAACTGTAATGCTAATCTTAATATTTGTCTTAATGTGAAATGTCATGTCAAATTGTTCTAGATACACACCACAAAACAACAGCCACACACCTTGACTTTTCCTCATGTTTTGACTAACGTTATGGTCAGCTGCAAGCTGGCATATCAGGTGACGTCATGGTTTGACTCCTTGCGTAGCATGGGACTATCCCAAAATGATTAAAATTATATAGGTTTCGTGGTCCAGGGTCTTTCATCTTCCAAGCTGCCTGCGTGCAGGTTGGTGGTGGGAGAGATCTGGACGTGTAATGTTAATTTCACCTGTGATCCTCTGAATAAACCAGTACGGTTATTTTTTATAAAATCTAAAGCGGTCTGCTTCGTCTTATTGTGAGTTCCTGGTTTAAAAGAGCCGGAAGGAGCTTTGTACATGAAACAGAGCTTTTAGCTGGCCAACAGGAAATGTCCTTAACAGGAAATGAGCCAACCTGGCTCATATACTGGATAAATATTCAGTGGATAAACATTCCACAGAACAATCCCTGGAAAAAG